CCTGCCCAGCCCTGGGTGGCCCTCTGCGGGCGCCGAGCAGTGAGGAAGATATCGGAGGAGGCCCCTTGGAGGCCTGGTCCAGAGCCGGTGGGGGCCCGAGGGAGGACAGGGCCCTACCTCCAGGGGTCCCTGAGCGTCCATCCGCTGACCCGCCGGAGGAGGCCCCCATCCACTCGCTCTCTGCCGGGCAGGTGTGTGCAACGCTGAGAGAGGCGATGCTGTGGTCCCAGCCACACGGCCCCACGTTAGTCTCAGCCCGGGCCGGGATGGCCACCGGCAGGTGCCCCCGAGTTCCACGATCAGCCCTTCCTCCCACTCTCACCACAGCACCCCCAACCCTGGGCAGCCCCGTCCCACCAGCCTCAGTGGCTGATCTCGGCCCATCCTGGGTGCCCCGGAGCCTCCCTGCGGGTCCTGCACCTCTGACCCGTGCCCACCCAGTGCTTGGGCAAGAGAGGCTGGGACTCAGCCCCGCCTCCTGTCTTCCTCCGTGGGATGGGGAAGGACAGGTCCTGTGGGGGAGGGGCTGTCCAGTGGGGTGGGCGATGGGTCAGGGTCTCTTCCTGGAAGTTCCCCAGAGGCCGCCTGCAGTTTCCCTGGGACCGTGGCCCTGCCCCCGGCTGGGCCTGCCCACCGCTGGGCTCGCGGCCGCCATGGGCTGGAACAACTGGGGTTTCACTTCTGTTCTGGGGCCGGGTGGGGGGTGAGAAGTCACACGAGGTCCCTTCACCTTCTCCGCCCTTCCTCCCCCAGGGGCTTGTAGTGAGGTTTTCTTGTTTACCCAACTTGGTCTTTGGAAAGAACATGGAACCTCAGCTGGAGAGGAACGGGAAGGAGCTGGGCCCGGCCCGGCCCCCACCCACACCCCTACCCACATGTTTGGGCGGGGTGGGGCGGGGCGGGGGACCAAGGGCCCGGGGCTCCAGGCTCCGGTGAAGCTGTGTGGCTTCGGGCTGCCGCCCTCGGCCTCCCGGAGCCTCGGTGTCCTGCGGCCTGGGCATGACAGTCCCCACCTCGTGTTGTGTGGTTAGAAGGAAGACACTGAGAAAACCACAGGGCAGATGGCTGAGCTGGGGCGGCCGCTTCTGGGGTCACGCCCCTCCCGAGAGGCGCTGCGGGCAACGCCATGACGAACGGCCCGCAGGGCACGGCCTGCTGCCCACAGCGTCTCCTTTAGGGGCTGCAGTGACGAGCCCACTGTGTGGACGGGAACATGGAGGCACAGAGCTGGGGAGCTCGCGGCTGGGACCCACACCCACACCCACACCCACCCCTGAGCCCGCCCAGGTTGGGGCTGGGGGTGGACAGTGTGGGTGGGGCGCTCAGACAGAATGCAGGGAGGTCACTGGGTCACCCACAGACCCCCGTGAGCGACCTCGGCTGCCCCAGTGCCAGTTGGGGGGTGGAGGCTAAAGAGTAAACCAAATAGACCTCCCCTCGCCAAAAAGGAGAGGGGCTGAATACTTGCCCCACACAGGTGTGGGGGGGTGGGCGGAAGGCCAGCTTCCAGACCAGGGAGCAGTGAGGACGGGGGCCACGAGGCAGGAGTCACAGAGTGGCCAGACCCGCTGAGGGTCCAGACTGCCGGCCCAACCGGTCAGACCCACGCGGTGCGGCATCCGCTCTCGGTGAGGGGTGGGGGCTGTGGAACCAGAGTGGGCCGGAGTCCCTGGGGGGGTCCAAGGGAAGGAGAGGGAGGGCGCAGAGAGGCTGGTGAGAGCAGGTCCCTGAGAGCAGCCGGACCAGGCCTGGCGGCTCGCCGAGGCCTCTAGGTCCCGGGCCCCACCCCTCTCACCACCCCCAGGCAAACGGGGCTGGGTCCCCAGCAGCCCCCACGAGGCGGAGAGAGAGTTCCCAGCTGTCAGGATTCCAGGGGGCGGCTGCCATAGGACAGCTGGCTTCCTGGTGGCCACTGACTTCCCATTGGAGTCTCATCTTTTTTTAGTGCAGTTGGGGAGCCGAGTCCGCCAGGGACTGGTAACCGGCGGACACGACCCCAGTGGTGACCGAGAGGCGAGGCTGGGCAGGCCGGCACATGACCCCGTCCCACAGACAGGAGCCAGGTAGAGGGTGCGGGTCCCTGGACACATGAATAAGCAGCGTTCCAGTGTTGGCCCCAGAGGAGCCGGGCACCCTGGGTCAGGGGACAGGTGTCTGGTGTGGTCACAGCCTCTGGCTCAGCTGGGGCTAGCTGTGGAACCTGGGCACGTCCCCAACACTACCCAGATCCCCCTTCACCTGCCTGGGCTGTGGGGCTTTGCCCCTGCCCGGACCTGTGGCACCCCGCACCCCCCAGGTCACCGGCCTCTCTGAGCCTCAGTCTCCTCATCTGAGAACTGGGCAGCCAGGCCCCTGTTGCTGGGAAGGGTGGAGCTGAGGGAGGCAGACAAGGGCCCCAGGTGCGCTGTGGCCACTTCCTGCCCTGGGATGTGACCAGCATCACGTGTCCAGCTGTCCCCTGCATACCAAGAGTCATGTGGCCAGCATGAGGTAGTGAACCTCAGGGAGCAGCAGCCAGGTGCTGGGTGGAGGGCAGCGGGACCTGGTTGTCACCCTTGGGAATGGGTGGCTGGTGGGAGGAACTAATAGGAGAGTGAATCAGCAAAGTACTGGGACACGAGTTTGCACAGAATGAGGAGGGCATCAGGAGGGCTTCCTGGAGGCAGTGGCCTCTGAGCAGAGGCTCTGATATGACTAGCAGCTTACCTAGAAGACAGGGAGAGGGCCCTCCAGGCAGAAGGGGCAGTGGGTGCAAAGACCCAAAGGCGTGGCACCCCTGACAGGCGCTGCATTCTAGGGGATCAGAGTGCGGGATGCCCAGGAGTACAGGGAAGGGTCACTTCCGAGGAGCCTCGCGTGCCACGTCCAGGCCTTGCTCTGTGCTGGGCGGTGGGTGCCGTGGGGAGGCCGGTGGGCGTAATCAGAGGCCCAGGTGGGGAGGAGGGGCCCTGAGCCGGAAGGCAGAGGGGGGGTGCCTCAGAGATCCAGGAGACAGGGCTGATTGAGTTTGGTGGGCGAGGGTCAGGGTGAACTTGACCAAGTGCGCACCAAGCTGCTCCCTGAGCCAGGTGCCATCACGTGACCATGAGCAGCACGGGGCCCAGCTCATGCCCTTTGTAAAGATGGCGGAAACAAGTTAACCTCACAAATCACACGTAACCATTCCGTCCGGGCTGACAGGTGCTGCCAAAGCAGGCGGCCGCCTGTGACCTGAAGGAAGGAGCCAGGCAGAAGGGAGAAGGGAGGCCCCGCGGGCAGCTTCCCCGGCCAGGCCGGTGCAGAGCGTGGCCCCTGGTGCTCGGAGGCGGGAGCAGCAGGGGCCGGCTCGGGGCCACAGAGGAGCCCAGGGTGGCAAAGTCAGTGGACTTGGATATGGTGAGGCCATCAGGAGGCGGCCCTAGTCTCTGGCCGGGGCTGGAGGGTTTGAGAGCACAGGAAGGGAAGCAGAGTGTGTGCGGGGGACATGGGACGTCCTGGAGAGGTGACCGGGAGGTGCCTGGGGCACGGGGGAGGCTGGGGGCACAGGATCTGGGGGCTGGGGTGGGAACCGAGGGTCCCACGGGGACCATGGATTCCTGCTGTCCCAGCGCCCTGCCTCTGCCCGGGCCCTTCCTGTTGCCCAGCCGGGCAGGAAGGCAGCAGGGGAGAGTGGGTTGAAGGGAGGTCTGGGGGAGGCAGGGAGGGGCCCTGGGCCGTCTGGATGCAGCGCTCCTCTCTCCCCACCCGCAGCATCCACAACGGGGTGATTGCCGTCTTCCAGCGCAAGGGGCTGCCTGATCAGGAGCTGTTCAGCCTCAACGAAGGTGTCCGGTGAGTGGCTGCCCCGTCCGCCCCCACCCAAGTCTGTGAGGGGGGTGGGGGCTGTGCCAGGGTGGGAGGCCCCGGCCAGTCCACCAGCCCTCCTGAGGACATCTTTCCAGGGGAAATGGGGCAGGGCCTGACGGTGGGTCAAGAAAGTGCCCACATTCCCCGCTGGTGTATCAGGAAAGACATTTATTCTGTTAAAGAGGAAGGACCCACCTGCCTAATGACGGGGGTGCCGTTCCCGGAAAAGCCGTTACAGCCGGGGCATGTCCCTCATTTCCTGTGAGTGGCCAAGGCATGGGCACTTGGCAGGGAGCCCCCATGATGGCCTGGCTTCAAGGGAATCCGTGAGGCCTGGCGTGGTCGTGCTCTTTAACAGGAGGTGGCCAGCGATCAGAGAGGTCAAGAGCCTTGCCCAGGGTCACACAGCTCCTACAAGGAGGCGTGGTTGCCTCTGAGCTGTTCCCCTTCCTCTCTGGGGAAAAATAGACAGCAGACCTTCTTGCCAACTCCAAGCGGAAATAAAAGGTCACCTGGGATGGGGTGAACCCTCCCCACCGCCGTGTGGCCAGGCTGGAAGGGCGCCTGCGGACCAACTGCTGAGGCCTGAAGCGGGAGGGGGCTGGTGAAGTTGCGGGAGCAGGGGCTTGTTGCCTGCCAGGCCTGACATGCGGTCTGTCCTGCTTTCCCCGGACTCCGAGGGCCACCCAGGGGTGGGGCCCCAGGAGCCCCCGAGGGCCTCAGTGGGGCCCACAGCACCTCCATTTTCTGCTGTGCTCTGCTCTGCTGAGGGAAAAGGAATTGGGGCCTAAAGAATGTGCTCGGTGTTTAAACAACAGAACATAAGGAAATGGTTCTGCATTCCTGAGCAAAATGTCAGGGACAGCCCTGCAGCCGTCTGCACCCCCCCCCCGCTCCGCTCCATCAGCACAAACCACACAGGGGTGGGGACTGTGACCCCAGACCACACGTCCCCCGTCACCAGCCCTAGGGCACGAATGGAGCAGGCAGCCCCCCTCAGGAGTGTGTATGGGGTGCCGGCCCCAGGCCCCAGGCTCCCCGGACAGCCCAGCATCTTTTACCCGAGAAACAGGTAGAGAGCAGTGGATGTGAGACGTGCAGCTCCTGGCCAGGTAGGTTGTCTGGGGCAGCAGCATTTTAGCCGCTGCTAAAACGGAAGTTCAAAACCGAAGCCTGTGCTCACCTGGCAGGGCAAGGAGGTCCCATGGTCACGAAGGCGCCTTTCCCAGGGCGAGGGTTTTCCGCTACAGTCCGGATGTGCCAACCCGTGCGTTTTCCCCAAATGTAGGAGACTCAGCTGCGTAATTTTTGGTAGTGGGGGACTGCGTTCACACTCTCCCCGGACCCCCGCTCCCCCCAAAAAAATGAAATGCCGGCAGCATCAAGTGCTGATAACGGCCTTTCTTTCGAGAGTTCACTCTCTGCTGGCCTTGTGCCAGGTGCTCACACACCTTAAACGCTCTATGGCACCTCCGAGGAGTGGGTGCCTCGTTGCTCACTTCACAGATGAGGAAACTGAGGCACGAAAAGGTCATGGGTCGATTGTGGAGCCGGGGCCTAAGCCCCTGACTCAGGGCCCTCAGGCCCTTCAGGACCTCCCCCGGCCCCCAGCTCTTCACCATCACGCGGCCTCATTAAATTAAGTGAATTTAATTGTGATTAAGTCCATAATTGGTCACTAGGTTCGATCCCACGAGAGCCTGGGCCTGGAGCCACGGGTCTTGTCCTTCCCGACACTCCCCTCTGCTCCCTTGTGAGACCAGGCGGTGCCTGGGCTCGGGGAGGGCTGAGACCGTGACCGGGGAGGGGACGCTGACATCTGGCCCTCGCTTGCCCCCGCTCCCCCTATTTTGTCTGTGTATTTTTTTGAGACATAATTCATCCTTGTAACATGTGCAGTTCGTTGCTCTAGTTTGTTCACAAGTTTGTACGACCATCACGCTATTTAATTCCAGAACATTTTTATCCCCCGACGAGAAGACCGTCTCCATCACCAACCCCTCCTCCTTACCCTCCCCCGGCCCCTGCCAATGCCCGTCTGTCCGTCTGGGTGGACCTGCCGGTTTGGGGTGACACTTCGTAGGGTGGCGTCACGCAGTCCGCACAAGGCATCTCGTGGCCACTTCCTTCCCTGGGCACAGTCCTTCGGGGTCCGTTCATGTCGGAGTGGGTGTCAGGACTTCGCTCCTTTCCACGGCCACTCAGAACACCACTCGGGTTGCACAGAAAACACACCCTCCTGTTGTCCTCTCCTCTGTGGGCGGACATCCGGGCTGTTTCCTCCCAGTGGCTGCACGGACACCACTGCTGTGAGGTCGTGTGCACGGTTCGTGTGGACAGGTGCTGCCGTGTCCCTGGGTCCCTGCCTGGGGCGGCGTTGCTGGGGGGCCGTAGCCGTGGACAATGAAAGTGTGCAGCCCCCCAGGGCCAGCAGTGCGGGGACAGGTGGACATGCCCGGCCCTCACGTTAGGCTGAGCACGTGGCCCATGGCTCCTGGGCGGGCCCCTGGGACCCCCGCTGCCCCTCGGTGGAGTCTGACTCCCACCCTCCCTCTCTCTCGTCTCCCCCCCCCACAGGCAGCTGCTGAGGACGGAGCTGGGGCCCTTCTTCACGGAGTGCCTGCAGGTGGGTGGTCCTGCTCTCAGTGGGCATTTGGAGCACTAGGTTGCAAAGACTCCGCCTCCCGTGACTTGGTCTCCCCATCGACCACGGCAGCCAGTTGGGAAGTTAATGATTCGATGCAGGCGCAGACTCAGCGCTGTGCCTGGTGCGTGGCGGGCTCGGGCGGCTTCGTCATTAGTGGTTCAGCTCCTTCTGGAACATCAGCGCGGCCCCTGATGTCCATGGTCACACACACACACATACACACCCGCTGCCCCAGTGCCCTGAGCTGAGGTGTCTGTGTCACTGTGTTCCCTTGGTCCCGGGCGCTGTGGCTCTTGTCATTCCTGGCCCCCCTTCTGGCCGCAGGTCAACAGTCGCTGAACACAGGGGAACCCCACGCTGTGGTGCAGTTTAAAGGGTTTAGCTCAGTGCTTCTCAGCGTACCCACAAAGTCCTGCCAACCTCACCACTGGCTGATTCCAGAACATTCTCATCACCCCTCAAGAGAAACCCCATGCTTTGCAATCAGTCCCCGTCCCCTTCCTGAGCAGCCCCCCCGGCAACTGCCGGTCTGCGGTCCATCTCTGGCCTTCCCTGTGCGGGGCGTTTCACGGGGGCGGAGCCACGCCCGCCCTGACTGGCCTTTCGTGGCCGGCTACCTTTGCTGGGCGCGGCATCCTCGGGGCTCCTCCACAGCCAAACACCCCTCCCTGTCTGTGTGTACCCCATTTTGTTTGTCGGCCTGTGGGTGGGCCCTGGGACGTGTCCACCCCTCGGATGGTGTGAATGGGGCCGAGACCACACGGTGTCATCCCCAGCCGGTGCCCAGGGCACGGGACCCTGTTGCATGAGCCTCATGTGACCGGTGCAGTTCCTGAATGAGGCCCTCGTCACAGGCCCTGTGGGCTCAGCGCCCTTCATTTGTTGCGGGATGTGATGCCCAGCTCAGCTGAGGCTGCAGGGCCGCTCGTCTCCTGGGATCATCCCCATGGCCACCTCCTGCCTCGTGACAACCCCTGGTTGGGTCAGCTGTCAGTGTCCTCCGGGGAAGCTGAGGTTCGGGCTCTGAGGCAGGCGGGAGAGGGGATGTCAGCGAGTCCCCCCCTTTCTGGGCCTTGGCTTCAGGTGGGAGACTCGTGGGAGCCCTGCCTGCCAGGACCCCGAGGGCACCCTCAGGGCTGTGACGGAGTCCCCCTGTGTGCCTTCCAGAACCAGCTGCTGACGAAAGGCATGGTGATCCTGAGGGACAAGATCCGCTTCTACGAGGGTGAGTCTGGCAGCCCCGGGGTGGGGACCGTGTGCTGGGCGCCCTGCTTGCTGCTGTGGCTGCTGGGCCACCCGGCTCGTACCAGGGACAGTGGCACAGCAGATGTGCTGGTGGGAAGCATGGCAGTGTGGCCGTCCCGGTCGAGGGCCGGGGGTGCGGCTCGGAAGGGACAAAAATGAGGCCTCTGGGACAGCAGGGGAGATCCGATCCCCGGAGGGGCCCTCGTTGGGTAGAACGTCTGCCCAGGAGGCCCACAGGGTGTCCGGGAGAAGGCTCCTGCCCCACTCAGTCCCCAGCAGCCTGGGAGCAGCCTCGGGCTCTGAGGCTTGACAGGAAGTGGCTTGAAGAGGCCGGAGCAGGTCGCTGGCTCCTGGTGGGAGCAGCCGATGGGGGCTCCCTGCTAGGCATGCGCAGAGGTTCCTTCTCTTCGTGCCCACACCCACCCCCGTGGGTCATTGTTCCCACTGCACAGCTGGGGACAATGCAGTGACGACAGGTGATCTGTCCGTGACCACACTGCACATAAGGAGTAGGGGTGAGATTTGAACCCAGGTCGGCCTGAGCACACACCCTTTGCCCTTCTCTTGGCCCGGAGTCCCAGCTGGCCTCCCCTGCAGGCGCCAAGCCTCAGCAGGGGTGCCAGGTCCTGGCACCCTCGGGCTCCCCGAGCGTGTGGGCCCTGGGGCCACAGCTGAAGGGCAGCCTCCTTAGGGAGGCAGCAGACAGTGGGAGCCTGGCTCCAGCAGGTCGCCTTTGCCTGGGGCCTACTGTGCGCCAGGCCAGTGCTGGGTTCTGGTTCCGTGAATGTTCGCTGAGCACCTGCTAGGCACTGGGTACACGCTTACTCTGCTAGGTTCTGTCCTGACTCTGCTAGCTCAGTGGGTCTCCCAACAACCTGTGAAGGAGATTTGGAAAAACCGAGTCACAGAGGGGTTCAGTGACGTGCAGGCCACATGGCAGCCTGGTCCTGAGCCCACACTGTTCTCGCAGCTCCAGATGTATCCTCAAGTCCTGGCCCTGTGCAGAAGGGGCGTTATCCTGTTTCAGAGAGGAGGGGACCCGGGGTGGCCTGGTGGCTCTGGATGAGCCTGGAGCCGCAGGTCCTTCTGTGTCCACGTCCGTGCCTATCGGGCAGAAGCCCCTGAGGCAGGAGCCTGAGAACCTCAAACTAGAGGCACGGCCACCGGGGTTCCTGGGCCAACTTCCTGGAGGAGGCAGCAGCTAACCAGCAGGACGGGCGGCACAGCCTTGGCACCTGGCGGAGACGCCCTCCCACCCCCTCTCCTGACTCTGCACATTCCGGCAGTGCCTGTGCCTCCCACCAACCCCGGCCCAGGGGAGCGGGATCGTCGGAGAAGGGGAGCTTTGTGCATCTTGGTGGAGTCCTGCCCACAGCAGCCAGGCCGCCAGGCCACCCAGCAGGGAGTGCCAGCCCGTTCAGACTCCCCGGGCCTCTGGGACAGGCCCGGGGCCCCAGGCCATGGGCCGCAGGGCCTGGTGTCCTGCTCTCATCCAGCCACAGACACGACATTTCGCTCTGGCCTCAGTGTCCCCGTCTCGGCTCTGTGGGGTTGGTCGAGCTCCGTCTGCGTGGTCAGGCCCTGTCCAGCAGGGCCTCACAGCTGTTCGGGGCATGGACAAGGCTCAGATGGTGAAAGTACAATGTGGTGAATGTCAGGGTACAGGGCAGCCCTGGGGAGAATGGACCAATTCCACAGAGGCAGTCAGGGAAGGCTGCATGGAGGCGGTGGCCCTCGAGTAGAGGCTCAAAATGCTGTCTGTCCAGGACAATATCTGGCCCCCTAAAGCCCATACCATTGGAATAATAACCGACCCACGTCCTGAAGGCAGACTTGGGAGCCTCTCCTCCCACCTCTCAGCCCTGTTTGGGTCCCAGGGAGAGTGCTTCTTTGAGATGGCTGCTGGCACCCCACCTTGCCCTAGCCTTACCTATGTTTCTGATAAATGGGGTGCTGCCCCCACACAGGGCAGCCGGGCACTCGCTGCCTGCTGCTCCCTTTAGCTGCGCCGAGGCCGGAGCGTCGGCCGCCAAGCAGAGAGGTTCCTGAGCGTGAGGAGTCCGGACAGCAGCCCGGAGGAGGAGGCTCCTTCAGGACCAGCTGAGGTTGTGATTTGGTGCCCTTGGCACGACTAATGGCTAATCGGAGCGAACCCCCTCCGCAGCCACGCCCCATGGTCCCCACTGTCCCTGGGGGCTCCCCGAGGCCGGCCGAGACCTGAGCCACCACCATCCGTTCATTCTGGTCTCCAGGCCCCACAGTCGGCCCTCAGAACTCGGACAAGGAGGACTGACCCGCCCCCTGGGCAGAGCCAGCTTGGCTTCAGCTGCTGTCTGAACCCTGCTGACCGTCAGCAGGGACGCGGCCCACCAATCACCATGACACCTGCCAGCGCTTCCAGAGCACCAGCCACATAGCTGCCTTTAGCCCTGCCTGCGTGGGACAGTCATCGCACCCATTTTACAGAGAACCGCACTGAGGCCCGGGGTGCGGGACTCCCCTCGGGACCTCCAGCAAGGCTGTGCAGCCTGACTCTGTCACCTGATGTCCCCAGTGCCCCGAGATGCAGCCCCCAGGCAGAGGGCCTGGCTGGTGGTCGCGGCCCCGCTTCCTGGCCTCCGTCGGCGTGCGGCCCGGCCGGGCCTGGACTTCGTGTTTCACAACATCTGCTTTCCGCTGCGTTTCCGGGCCGGGGGCTGGAGAGCGGCCCAAGCTCAGCGGACACTGGCCTGGCCCGGCCCGGGGCCACCCCACGGCTAGCTGCGGGGACTGAGCTGCCTTTCTTCTCGCCGGCAGCAGCAGGGACCTGAAGGGACCTTTGTGCTCAGGCAGAGCCCCTGGGGCAGCAAGTACCCGCCTGTCCTGCCACAGACCCAGGTGCGGGCCCCAGGGAGGACCGGGAGTTGGCCGATTGGCAGGGAGCCCCAGTGCCAGCCGACAGCAAAGCACAGAAGCCAGACCCCCCTAACTGCCAGCCAGGCCGCGCTGCACCTCCCGGGCCGCCCCGCCAGGCTCCCCTCCCAGAGCCCCAGCACCGACACAGACCTGGGCCTTGCAGGGTGGTGGCAGCAGGGCCCAGAGCCCGAGGAAAGTGAGGAGAAGAGAGGCCAAGGCTCTTGTCTGGCCCTCTCGTTCCCATGGAAACCGCCGGCATTGAGCAGTGCAGTCTGGGAGAGCGGCCAGTGAGGGGCACTTTCCCCTCCCACCCGGAGCCGCCCACCACGCCCCTGCTGACAGCGAGTCTGCCTTCCAGGCGGGGGTCTACTCCCCCTGGGTCTGGCAGCCCCTCATCCTTCTGCTCTTTCCAGTGAAGAAACTGGGCGCTCAGCACTAAGCATTTCCTGAGGGCACCCCAGCTGTCCCCAACCCCCGGAGGCTGCCGGCCCCGAGGACGGCACCCCCCTTCCCAGGGCAGCAGAGATGACTGCAGTGAGCCTGCCCCACTGCCTGCCTTCTACACACCTGCTCCTGTGGGCCACCAAGGGTGTCATTCAGCCTGGCAAACCGTCCCAGATCAGCATAGACAGCCCCTCCTCCAGGAAGCCCTGCCTGCCCGCCCCTCCTCACCTTCTCTCTACCCTTCTCCCCGCTGCCGTGGATGCACATGGTCTTCCTGGCTCCTCCGATCTCGCCTCCGGCAGCCTCGGGTGTCAGGGCCCCCGGCCCTGGAGAAAGAGGCCTGAGCCTCTCACCGGCTTTGTCTCCGCACTGGCCCAGGGAGGTCACCCCTTGCCACCATCTCACACTTGCTGTTCAGTGCCCTGCTTCTTGACACGTAGTGGGATTGGACTGTTTGGGGCTCAGGGTGGGTCGGTGGACAGATGCCTCACTCCTGGGTGGTGGGTGAGGTGAGTCAGGTGAGACAAGGACGTGAGCTGATGCTCCCATGGGGGGCACGCCTTCGTGGGGCCACGTGGGTGGGGCTGGGACCAGCAGCTCACGCACGGTCGCGTTTCTCTGCCCCAGGCCCCGAGTCAGCTCTGAGATATGGGTCTGCTTCTGTCCCCTTTTACCAGTGGGGAAGCTGAGGCACAGAAAGGCTAAGCAGTGGGCCCAGAGCCAGCGAGCTGCCAAGTGCTCTCTGCTCTTGACCTTGGGGGTGCCTCCTGCACCTCCTCCGGACCAGAGAGGGGACTTCTGACGGCGGGGGGGGGGGGGGGTCAGGAAGTGTCTCCTGAGCCCATTCGAGACGGGCAGTGACAGCTCCCTGTGTCCACAGGACAGAAGCTGCTGGACTCACTGGCGGAGACGTGGGACTTCTTCTTCGGCGACGTGCTGCCCACGCTGCAGGCCGTCTTCTATCCGGTGCAGGTGAGCGGCCCCTGGGGCCGCAGTGTCACCTTCACTGCCCAGCCTGGGGGTGGACACACCTTTCCGGCCCTGGGTGCCAGTGCCGTGGGCAGCACCGTGACAGGACCAGACACGCGGTCCCTGGACCTCTCAGAACCCGTTTTCCCACCCACGAGATGGAAGTAAGGCCAGCTCCCTCGGAGGGCCCCGTAAAGCCCGAGCAGCACACAGTAGGCCGTGCCCAGCGCAGAGTAGGCACCCTGTGTGTGACAGCAACCCTTGCCTCGCCTGCGGGTCAGGAGGCCTCCCACGACCACAGAGTTGTGTGTCCACAGGGCAAGGAGCCGTCCGTGCGCCAGCTGGCCCTGCTGCACTTCCGGAACACCATCACCCTCAGCGTGAAGCTGGAGGAGGCGCTGGCCCGCGCCCACGCCCGCGTGCCTCCCGCCATCGTGCAGATGCTGCTGGTGCTCCAGGTGGGCGCGGGGCCGGGCTCCCAGAGGCAGCGCCTGAGAGCGGGTGTGGGTCCCCACGTGTCACAGCGGGGGTGCTGTCAGCAGGAACCTGGGAGGGAGGAGCCACGCCGAGGCCTGGACTCGGGAGAAGGCCGGCCTCAGCCTGGCCCCATGGTGGCCCTGCAGCGTGATCAGCACCAGAGCTGTCTGCCGTGGGCAAGGAGCTGGGCTCCTACAGCCCCATCAGTCGGTCACGGGGGCTGAGGGCCGCCTTCCCTGACGCTCCACTGTGGCTCTGACATGTAATGGTGGGAACGGCTTGCGCCCAAGAGGGCAGCTCTGGGGGGTGGCCAGCAGCAGGCTGTTGGCACCGTACTCCCAGCTGTGGGGTGAGCAGCCTGGCCCAGGCAGGGGGTCTGATGGGCCACCAGCAGCCCCTGCTGCAGACTGGCCCTTTCGGCACGTCCCGAGTCCTGGGGCAGGCACAGCGCTCCGCAGTTTGCCGGCTCGCCTCACGGCACAGGGCCCAGGTGGGCACCGTCAGCCACCCTGCCTTACCCACAGGCTGGCATGACCAGGAGTCTGGCCTCACCTGAGCCTGGCCGGCTCCAAAGCCCTGCCCATCACCCAAAATGACACATCTGTGTGGAAATCCTGCTGATTCGGGGTCTGTGAGTTTGGTCCTGGGGTTCAGGGCAGCTGGCAAAGGCTCCAGAGCGAATGTGGAGGGTCAGGGGTTGCACCGTGGGGTCCGGCAGCCACGGGCCTGCGGGCAGGGATTTTAAGGGCTTTTTGGTTGCTCCTGGCTGGGTTGCAGCTGGGGGCTTGGAGGAACTCTGCCTCTGGGCCTCTTTTCTCCTTGTGTGGTAGAGTAGGGCCACCTACCTGGTGGGGCAAGGCCAAGGGAGAGAAACCAGCTGTAAAGCCCTCCCTGGAACCCCATCCCTGTGGGCAGCCAGGCTGGGGTGGTGCTGCCCCCTGGTGGCCGCCACCTGATGCAGCTTTCTGGGCTTGGCCCCTCAGCCACCAAGACTGTGGGTGTGAAGCCAAACCACTACCTTTTGCCATTGCCCACCCTCCTTTGGCCCACACTTTAAATGACCTTGTCCCAGCTCCCCAAGGAAACTTGTCCCTACTGTTTTCATGTCCCAAATAGATTGAATTCACAGCTGCTGGTTGGCATATCGGAGGACCTACTGTTTGTCCTGTGCTTCGCCCAGAGAGGCATGGTTCCTCTTCACGGGGTCCCAGAAACCACAGGGACAGCCATGCAGTGGAGGGTACACAAATAATGCAGTCCGTGGCCCCGCTTCCTCTCTGTCCGGGGGAGCAGAGAGCAGACTTCCCAAACAAGTTCTGGGAATGAAAGCACATGAAGTTCCTGGAGACCCAGCACAGCTCGGCACTGCCGTCATCACCAGGGCACCGCTGCCAGGGGCCGAGACAGCTCCAGGGACAGCGGGGCTCCTGGGAGGGCAGGCGCTCGTGGGAACCCAGTCCCTCCTTATCCAAACGCAGCCGGGCCCACGGGTCTGTGGCGATGTTCTTTCCCATCTCCTCAGTCCGCCTGGCTAGAGGCTTAGTGACTCCACTCCTGTCTTCAAAGAACCGGCTTTTGATTTTGCTGGTTTTCTCTCTTGCTTCCTGTTTTCTCTCTCATTCAGTTTTCCTTCTACTTACTTCAGACTTGGTTTGCTCTGCTTTGTGTGATTTCGTAAGCTGGAAGCTTAGATTGTTGATTTTTTAGCTTTTCCTTTTCTAGTATGTCCATTCGATGCTGTAAATGTCCCCCGAAGCGCCGCCTTTGATGTTGTTCATGAATTTGACTGTTTTGTGTTCACTTTCATTGAGTTCAAGGTCTTTTACACAAATCTTCCTGAGATTTCTTCTTCGACTCACGTGTCATTTAGACGTGAGTTGTTTAATCGCTATGCATTTGAGAATTTTCCAGTTTCCTGTTGGTGGTTTCCTGGTTTCATTTCAGCATGGCCTGAGAACGGACATGCTTTGCATTTTTAAAAACCGGGGGGGGGGGGTGCCCCACGGCCCAGAACGCGGTCTGTTTGGCCAGTGTGCCGTGTGAGCGCAAGGAGAATGTTTCTTCTTCCATGCGTGGGTGGACTAGACTGTCGCTGCCACAGACACAGGCGGCTGACAGCCGGTGCTGTTCGGTCCAGCCCAGCCACTTTGACTTCCTGCTGCTGGGGCTGCAGTTCTGAGAGGGGCTCGATGTCTTGGCTGTGGGACTGGACTTGCGTCTCTCCCTGCACTTCTAGATTCCTCCCCTAGTTGGCGCTCTGTCGTTCGGTGCATGTGTGCCAAGGATAGCCATGGCGTCTTAGAGAATGGACCCCTTCATCCGTATGCCATGACCTTCTTTGCCCCTGGGATGTCCTTGGTCTGGAGTCTGCCCTGTCTGGAGTGACCACAGCCACTCCCACGTGTTCCGGTCAGCAAGAACCCGGCACGGCTTTCCCCTCGCTTTCCTTTCAATCTGCCTGTGTCTTCACAGTTTAATAGGTTTCTTGAAGACAGTGTAGAGTTGGGTTCTCTCGCTGTCTTGCACTGTTACTTAATATTATTGTCCTAACCATGTCTTGCCCTTTACCGACTGGCAGCTTCTTTAGGAGTGGTGCCTTTCATTCATTCATTTATTCATATATCAGTCATTCAGCAAACACTCACCAAAAACCTGCTGAGTGCCGGGCCCGGCCAGGGATGCTGGGACCCCGAGCTTGCCCCGCCGATCAGCAAGACCAGCCGTGTCCTGGGCAGCCCGGTTCCTCCGGCTTTGGCTCAAATGAAACCAGAGGAGGCAGAGATCCGCAAAGCTCTGGGTGGGGGGGAGGTATCAGGGAGGAGCTGGATAAGACCTGATAGGGGATGCCACACGATGGGGAGGGGCAGCTGTCAGGAGGAGGGACCCTCACTGCCCAGCTTGGATGTGGACCCTGGGCCTGCCCCATGGGGGTCCACACCCCCTGCAGTGCCCCACAGGTGAGGGAGGGCAGGCAGGGGCCCTGGGTGGATGAGCTTGCCCCTGTAGCGGGGATTCCAGAGCCTCTGGGAAGCCGGTGCTCAGGACCGTCTCCCAAGGGGCAGATTGCAGGTAGCCCAGCCTCACTCAGCCACAGGGCCCTTCCCCATAGGGCCACATGGGCCCCCAGACCCACAGCTGCTGTGGGCAGTGAGCAGCCACAGGGGGTGTCAATTCAGGAGAGAGGCCGCGAGGCCCCAGCTCGAGAGAGGGTTGGGGAGCAGGGCTTGGTAGGCACTGTCCTCAGGGCCCAGGCCCTGTGGGAGTGGGATCAGCGCGGGTGTGGCGGCTTTGAGCTCAGCCCTCTGGTTGAGGGAATCCAAGACCGTGCGGCGCGGTGACCCTCCCACCTCTCCCTCTCCAGGGTGTACACGAGTCCCGGGGTGTGACCAAGGACTACCTGCGCCTGGAGACGCTGATCCAGAAGGTGGTGTCGCCCTACCTGGGCACCTACGGCCTCTACTCCGGCGAGGGCTCCTTCTCACACTCCTGCATCCTGGGTATGGCAGCCCGGGCCGTGGGCGGGAGTGGTAGCCACTGCGCCTGTCCACCGGCCTGCTGCTGGGCTGAAGGAGACCCCAGGGCAGACACCATTGCTGGTGATGTGCGGACTCTCCCTGAAACCCAGCAGCGTCCTCTGTCCCCAAGGGAGTCCCACTTGCACTTCATCCTGACAGTCAGGTGTGGCCAGGCACAGCGGACAGCACAAGTCAGAGCCCCAGGAATCCGGCGCATGTGGGGGTCTGGGAAGAAGGGCGGGGCTTGGGGGTGGGGGCTGCTGTCAGGGGGCTTCCTGGCATGTCCAAGAAGCCAGGCTCCATTGCTCCTTTAACTGTTGGCCCATCGGTCATTCAGCAGTCGCCCGGGCTCCCTGTGGCCCTGGATGACAGGCCCCTCGCAGAGGGACGAGGGAGCCTCGCCTTCTGTCCAGGAAAGGCCCCAAGTCCCTCCACACACTCAGCCCAGCCACTTGGTGGCACTCTGTGGAACTGCGTGGTGCTCACGTGTTCCCCTGTGCAGCCTCGGCCGCCCCCAGGTCCTCTGCTGCCTTCCAGAGGCCCCCACAACACTCGGAGTAGAAACCCCAGCCCTGACCTTGACGGGCCCCTTGTTGACGTGGAACTTACCACTGCCTGACTTGTGGACCACCCCTGTGTGTCTGTCATCTCGTCCCCCTCTCCCCCATCACACACACACTTTGAGATTCCAGCTCCAAGGACAGGGCCTGAGTCTGCCCAGGGAGGTGCCAGTGTGGAGCACCTGTTGATATGGGCTGGCTTTGCACAGGGGGCGTGGGGGTGGGGGAGAGGCACGTGCAGCTGGGAAACCGGAGAGCCGGCTTAGCTGCCCCCCAGCTGATGTGCCCCCCCCGCCCCCCCCCACACTGCCTCTCCAGGCTCAGAGGCAGGGACAGAAGACACAGCTGGGGTGGAGTCTGCACCCTGTTCCCCCCCAGACCAAGCCACCCCTGCAGCTACTGTGGGGGGGCTGGCCCGGGGTCTGCACCAGTCAGGCCTTTCCTGGGGCCACCTCCAAGCAGAGCTGGCGGCCCAGTCTGTGCTCACAGTAGGAGCCACTGGGCACCTGGCAGAAGGAAGGGCCAAGAACCCGCAGTTGCCTGGGGTCGCCATATCCCCTGGCCTCCGGTGCCTGATGCCTGTCTGTCTGTCTGTCTCTACAGAGAAACACTTCCTGCGCCGCGCCCGCTCCGGGGACATCCTGGCCAAGAACCCGGTGGTACGCTCCAAGAGCTACAACACACCGCTGCTGAACCCTGTGGCGGAGCACGAGGCGGAGGGTGTGGCGGCCGGAGGCACCAGCATCCGCAGGCACTCGGTCTCCGAGATGACGTCCTGCCCGGACGCGCAGGGCCAGGGCCCTGCAGGGGACTTCACGCCCTCCCCGGGCCTGCAGCCGGGGCCCTGCCCCAGCAGACTGTACCCGGATTGCACGCAGTCCCCCGAGGCCGGCCCTGCCTGCGGCTCCCCACCTTCCTCCAGCCCAGAGAACCTGGTGGACCAGGTCCTGGAGTCCGTGGACTCGGACTCCGAAGGCATCTTCATTGACTTTAGCCGGCGCAGTGGGCCTGGCGCCTCCAAGCTGGAGGGGGACAGGGGCCGCCAGAGCATTGTGTGAGGTCCTGGCGTTTTTACTGAGCCCAAGTGCGAGCCTGTGTTTGCGTGCGTGCGCGTGAGTTTTTTACTCCATCCCGGCCAGTCCACAGCCAGCCTCGTCCACTGTGGCTTCCCCCACCCCTTGGTTGGAAAAACCATTTTCACCAGCCCAAGCCCCACTCTGTTCTGGGACGTCTACTCCGGCATCTTCACCTGCCACCCACAGGGCACCCGGCACATGGGTCAGCCGCACGTGGGCGAAAGGGTCACCGCCACTCACTGCCCATCAGGCCACCCAGCACCCACATCCACACCCGTGGCGACTGTGAATCTGGCCTCCGGCCAGAATGACCCTCGGACCCACCTGCCCCTCCCCACTGGCCACAGCACAACCTGTGGGTGACTGTCCCGGGCCCTCGGAGTCACCTGCCCTCACTCGGCCAGGGTGGCCACGGGCAGGAAGAGTGTGGAATAAAACTTGTCGGCTCCAAAGCACGTTATGCCCAGCCTCACTTGGCTGGGGCCTCCCCTCCCTGCTTTTGGAGGGGCAGGTCCCTATTACCCACTTTCTCTGTCCCATCCTGTCCGAGGGGCCCAGAGACCCGGAGGGAGGAGCCAGGAGACCCGACAGCCTCTCAGGAGCTGCCAGGACCATAAGGGGTGGAGGCCGGGTGCAGACCATTGGCCCTCCACAGAGGGGGCGGGCCCCTGCCTTTGCCCCCAGTGGTGAAGCGTAGGAGCCTAGAAGGGGGACGGAGCTACCTGGTCCCCACCACCACAACCTTGCTGGAGAGACCTGCCTGGTGCGGGACCCCTGGCACCGCTCTTACCACCCTGGCAGGCAGTGCCCTCCCCCGGCTCCGGGATCCAGGCCCTGGACCAATAGGCTCCCTGGCCTGTCCCCCAGTGGCATCTGTGCATTTGCCAAGGTCTGGGCTCCTCAGTCTTGTCCCTCAGACACACCTGTGCCCCTGGTGGGCGTCTTACACCGCAGGGTCACCTCCCATCTGTCGGCCCAGAGAGTCCTCCTCTGAATGCCAGCTGACCCTGCAGGTCACTGACGGCCACCTTCTCTCGCATCCTCAGGACGCATCCTGTCCATCCAGCCCTGCTCCAGATCTCGTTTAAACTTACTTAGGGACCCCATCTCCAATGCAACCACACTGGAGGCAGGTAGAGCTTCGGGGGACACGACTCCCTTCCATGGCTCCCTGGTGGGGGGTGGGCCTGTTCCTTGGGCAACCAGCCCCCACGCCTGCCCCGGAAGCCAGAGGGGGGCCACGTGCCAGCAGGAGCCCAGCCAGGTCCCGGGGCCTTGCCCTGCTGTGGGGCGGGGGCATTGAAGGTGCCCCGGACTGCACCGCCTCGGAGTTAACATTTGTTTTTGGGTGTGTGTGGGCACCCCAAGATGCCCTCGGGCCCAGGGGTGTTCTTTGCCCCTGCCGATACAAGTCTCTGGAAGGAGGCTTTTGGGGAGGTGCTGCTGGGCGGCTGTGGCCCAGGAATCCCCGGTGGGAGGCCAGGCCCGCTGGGGAGAGGGAGGAGGGTCCCCGCCAGGTGGGGGGGCTGCCTGCCGCACAGGGAGCCCATAGAAGGAGGGGGAGAGACTGGTAGGCGGAGAAAGGCTAGGAAGTGGGTGAGCCAAGGGGTGCGCCCGTCGAGTTTTGACTCATGTGTTATCTTCCGTTTGACCCTGAAAGTGATACTTGACCTATAATTAAAAAGAACTGGCCCTGGCCAGTGTGGCTCAGTGGATTGAGTGCAGGCCTGCAAACCAAAAGTTCGCAGGTTCGATTCCCAGTCAGGGTGCATGCCTGGGTTGCGGGCCAGGTCCCCAGTAGGGGGCGTGTGAGAGGCAACTACACATTGGTGTTTCCCTCCCTGCCTCTCTCTAAAAATAAGATAGAAAAGAACCGAATATACCCCAAAGGAGCTGACAGCAGAGACTCAGACAGATGCGTATCCACCACGTGCACCTCTGTTTCCGAGGGCGAAAAAGGCAGAGGCCACTCAGCCATCCGCCAACAGGTGAATGGGTCAGCAGAGTGGGCTGTCCGTGCAACGGAGTGCGACTCGGCCTTAAAAAGGACAGGAATCCTGACATGCGCCACCACGTGGATGAATCCTGAGGACGTTTTGCCCAATGAAATAACACCAAGGAGGCAAATGCTGCAGGACCCCACTAACGTGAGGCCCCTGGTGGAGTCCAGTTCACAGGTCTGCACCACGTCCCTCAGGGAGTGTGGCCTGCCCAGTGTGGCCCCAGCATGGGACCGTGGTCCTGAGCTGCAGTAGTGTCCAGCGGTGACGTGGGCAGTAGCCTTGGGGATTCTGGGAAATGGGAGGCTGCTGGGTAGAGGGCATCGGCCAGGGCTGCAGTGGAATGAGATTTTCGGTAAGCCCCTAAAATCACGGTGCTCTGCTCTTCCTGGTCCCCTGGTGGTTCGTGGGGCCCTATGACCAGCTCTGGCCAGTGAGTTCTGAGCAGAAGGGACTGGAGCCCTTTGGAGCTGGAGCACTCAATGCCACGTGGAGACCCTGTGAGTCATGTTCCAGACAGGCCTGCTCCAGCTGGAGGGGCGTGGGGGGCTGCAGACATGTGTGAGTGAGGAGGCCGGGGTCTGTGTAAGGCCCTAAGACTGGGGGTGTTTGTTACTGCAGCATGACCTGGCGCGACCTAATACATGTCTACATGTTCAGTGTGGATAGCCCACCCCTCAAGGGCAGTGCCAGGACCCTGGGTTGTCCCCCCGAATCGGTCACTCACCTGCTGTGTGACAGTGGGCAGTCATGCCATCCTCTGTGTCTCTAGCTGAAGGAAGGATCTTTCCGAATATAAAATTCTATAGCTGGTGATATCTCTCTGCTTGTCTGCTGCGCTACGTGAACCACACAGAGCCGGCGTGAGGTCTCGAACTCCCAGGTGGCAGGCGTCTGATGAAGGAGCTCGGCACAGGTGACAGTGTGTTGGGCAAACAAGTGCCTGATGGGTTTCGACCTGAAGGTGACCACGGCTCAGTACTGAACTGAGAGTTTCCCTGGCACGAACCCTTGCGCTCGCCGGGATGTGTTTGCAGAGAGCTCAGGCTGCCGCTTAGCCAAGCTGCGAAACGCCGTCACGCTGCAAAGTGTCTGCGGCACCATCGCCAGAAGAATTTCTCAAGCTGACATTTCTCTCTTCGCTGTGGGGATTTATGTCAGCCTGTACTTGGAAGGGGAGGAGGGACAGGGAAGCATTAAAAAGGAGGCCACAGCATCAGGCAGGACTCTTACTTGAAAGCCCCGAAAGCAGATCCCAGCTGGTTACACAGCGAAGGAGCTTGTTAAAGGATGTTGGGAACTCCTAGGATCGTCAGGATTGGGAGAGAGCCAAGCTGGAGGCTTAACGCCCAGGGACAATGCCTCAACCCGCCCCTCAGGACAGGCTTGATAGGAAAACGGGGGTGCTCCACTGCCCAGGGATGCTCCCTCCACGGAGACGCTCCAGTCACACTGCACCAGACTGGCCATCGCCGCCAGCACCGACGTCAGTCACGTCCCTGTGCTCAGCCTTTCCAGCCGCTGCAGCCTCCACATCGCACCCCCACCCCCGGGCCCACATCGAGCATCACGCAGCTGCCCTCTCCAGTGTAACAAACTCCAGGGCTGCCCCCACCCCCTGCCAGGTGTATGTCGCAGTGGTGGAGCCTAAGTCCCCCTCTATGCCCCGGTTGTAAAGCAGGCCAAGTCAACCTGTCGTCTGACTGCTTTGGGCAGAGACTAGTGAGGACCTTTGAAGGGAGCAAGGAGCTTGGGCCCCAGCTGGGTAGCTCAGTTGGTTAGAGCATCAGCCCCATGCACCAAGGTTATGGGTTTGATCCCCGGTCAGGGCACATGCAAGAATCAACCAATGAATGCAATAAGTGGAACAGCACATCAATCTCACTCTGTCTCTCCCATCCTCTCTCTAAAAATAAGTTTAAAAGATTTTAAAGGTGCAAGAGGCCAGAGTACAGGACCAGAGTCCCACCCTGGTGTCAAATAGGGCACCAAGGGTGTGGCCCGCCCAGTTGCAAATCAAAGAGCTCCCAGAGCCAGGTCCAAACTATGCCCAGAGCACCGCAGAGCAGGCACAGGCTGGGCTCGGTTCGCGGTCGGTGCTAACAACCAGATGCACGTGGCGGGGTTCCTCGTGGGGTTCCAGGTCCTGGCCCCTTAGGGAGGGTCTGAATGTGATCTCCCGGACATCCTCAGCTCAAGCCACAGTCACACCCACACTCCACTGGGAAGTTTTGGTTTCGTGGTTTTAGTGGAGTTCAAAGCAGACAAAGTCTGGGCTCGAGCAGCTGGCTGGGGGAGTTAATCTGGGAGAAAACAAATGCGAAGCCCCAGACCGGGGGCGGGTTCTGCATCCCCTCCCTCCTTGCGGCTGCCCCCCCCCCCAGTGCCTATTAACATGGAGTGTGCTGCTGGGGGGAGCCTGCTCGCCCGCCCGCTCCATAAACACTGGCAAGAGCAAATTTAATAAAGCTGGGAGGAAGGCCATTCGGATGCCAGTCCTTCGCTTTGCGCGATTCTTCTCCCCCTTCTGTTGCAACCCATCTGAAATGCAAGGAGTTATTGTTGCAGCGACAAAGGGAAGTGGCTGCTGGTGGGTTGCCGATTGCCCGTGTTTGGGGGGACAGAGGAGCGAGCCCGGAAGGGAGCCCGCCTGGGCTTCACCGTTCCTTTCTGTTCCCTTCTTCTATTAGAATGGCAGGCGCACCTGCGTTCTTGTGCCCACAATCATTCTGTATTATTGCTTCAGTGGGTGTGGTTTACAGCACGGAGCTATGGTGTGGCATTTGTATGAGCTTCACACAAAACACAAACTCAAGGAGAGCGGAAATTACGCTGCCAGCCGGGCACCAGCGGGGGGCGCTTTCTCCCACTTCAGTCAAAAGTGCTTTTTACAACAGAAAGACTGCCCATTGTCCCTCTTTCTTGAGAGACTGGTCTTACACTGATGATAAAATAGAGATGTTTACATTCTGCAAATGGAGGAGAGAACCTGGCACACAGCTCTGGACGAAACCCATTGTGTGGGTTGCTGGGAAGAAGAGTTTTGGGCGAGAAACCAGCCCCCCATTCCTGATCCACCTGCAGCCTCAGGCTTATATGCACCGGTATGTTCAAGGTTAGCACCACAGTGCCCTTGGCTTTCTCACCAACCCAAGGCCTCTGGGAGCAAGGAAGTGCTAAAGAACACTACGCAAGTGTGCTGTGGGGGTCGAACAGTCTTCGTGAGGAAAAGGCAGTTGCAGGGTTGATGACAGAACGCAACTCAGGTCATTCATTCGTTCAGATGGATGGGGGGTAGTGTCAACTATGTGCCAGGTGCGGCACTAAGTGCTGGGGACGCTGCAGTGAGCAAACAGCCCCACGGCTCTGGGACAGCCCACGTTCCATGGAACGGTAACAACTAACATTTCGCTCTGGGCACAGGTCCCCCGTTAACATTAGCCCACGTTCACTGACTTCACAGTTGGTGCTGGCAAAACTGGGGTGAAGCTGGCTGTCTCAGCTTCGGGGAAGAGAAAGTTTTGGTCTAACTCCCCCTGGTCCCTGGAACAGCCACAGATGTGCCTCAGGACTAGCCGGGAGTGGCCTTCCTGGTCTTTTTCTGCAAGTGCTATTAGGAGAGAAACTCTTTGCACTTCGTTTAAAAGGAATGAAGATACTTCCTCATGTGACACTTTGTAGGATTAGAAAGTTGAAACTAGATTGAACAAGAAGAGAATTTACTGGTGCACATAACGAGAAAGGTCGCAGACAGGGCAAGCCTCAGGGTGGGTTTGATCCAGGGGCTCTGCATTGTCACCAGAGACTCCGTTCTGTGCCACTTCTGCTGCATCCTAAGGCGAGATCTCTTCATGGTCACAGGATGTCTGCCGGGTGTCCCCGATGTGCTAGGCTCCTCGTATATGGGGGGGGGAGAGAAAAGGGGACAGCAGAGTCACACCGCCCGGACTGGCCTGAACTGTCACTGTGGTTTAATGAGCATCCATGCGATTAGCTTAGGCCCAGTTACTTCTGGACCTGAACCAATCACTGTGGCAAAGGAGTGATATTATGCTAATGAAACTGGAAAAACTGGATGTCACCTTCCGTGCAAGGCGGCCTGGGATTGTGGGCTGCGGATGTCCCCCAACCCCAACCCAAAGGGGCGGGAGGGAAAAGAGGGAGAGAAACACTTGAGCAGGGGAAGGCAGGTGTTTGTGAAAGGACCCCTGGCTGCTGGGGTGACACAGACCCAATGGGGTGGGAGCAGAATCAGGGAGGCCCATTAGGGGACCTCATTGGGAGCCATGTGAGAGGTGCTGGTGGCCTGAACCACCTGGGCCAGTGCCAGTGGGGAGAAATGGTGGCCCTGGGACACATCTCAAAGGAAGAGCCATCGGGGCCTGCTGAGGGACCACACGCGGGATGTGAGAGGACTGGGGAGCCGAGGATGGAGCCGAGGGTCTGGATGGGGCTGGCGCACAGAGAGTGGGCATGGAAGCCCAGGAGAGGAGGCTGGTACGGAGGGCCAAGGAGCTCGAGCTGCCCGCCAAGATCTCCAGGCGGAGATGCTGGGGGCCGGGTAAAGGCAGGAGTCTGGAGTCAGGGGATATAACTGGGGGTCAGGGTACAGGCACACTGAAAGCAGGGGGCAGAGGAGTGTGGATAAGGAAGAGAAGACCTTTGGAAATCAGGGAGATGTGGCGGGAGGCAGCGAGGAACCTGAGAGGTGGGCCAGACAGGTGGGTGCTAGGCTGGGCCTGCAACAAACCCATTCTCCGAACTCCACCTCGCTGAGCTGCCCCTGGGGGACAGTGCGATGATACTGGAGGACCCGTCATCCTCTTGCCCGGAGGGCTGGGCCAGCAAACACACCTCCAGGGGTATCCGGGCCTTGCCTTCCTGGCTATATGACCCCTGCCTCAGGGTGGACTGCGCCCAGGTGCAGAAATGCAGCCCTGAATGACCTTCAGGAGGCCCAAGGTTTGCTCCCGTCTCCTCCTCCAGGAAGTCCTCCCTGCTCCTCAGCCTAGGTCAGAGCTGCCCCTGGGATCACCCAACCCCTGCCACTGTGAGGTCGGGGGCCCACTCTGGGACCTGTGGAGACCCACCAGCCCTGGGAAGTCAGCACCTGACTCTGAATGCGCTTTGGGAGCCATTCGTTGAATGTTTGTGTCTTCTCAGTTGCTCGCAGATCTCACCCCTTCCCGCCTCGCTCGGCGCATCCCCTAAAAAGGGGAAACGGATCATCAAGGCAAAGGCTCGCCTCGGACGCGGGTGCTGCGCCAAAGGCGGGCTCCACTCAGGTGGCACCCCGGGGCGCCTCCAGGGCTTTGGCAGCGAGGAGCCTCTGCCATCGCAAGCCCCGCGCCCCGTCCGCAAGGCGGAGCCACTGGCCCGGCCTTGTCCCGGTGCCCGCAGAGACCGAGCCGGACCTGCGCCGCCCAGGGCACTAGGAAAACACCTTGCGCGGGTCATAGAGGACGGGGAGAGGGGCGGGACCTGCGCGGGAGCCACGTCCGGGGCGGGGCCAGGTGGGTGAGTCTCAGGTCGAGCTGCTCCCAAGAAAGGAAGGCGCTCAGTTGGTTGGCAGTCCGGTAAGCCTAGGAGGAAGCCGGCCTGTGCCCCGGCGGGGACGCCGCGCGGGCTCGGCGGGCGGGAGCCGGCGGCTGGACGGGCTCGCGGCGCAGGTGGGCTCTCCGAGGCCGCGCGGGAGGCGGTGCGAAGACTGGCGCCAAGGCAGATCCCGGTCCGGCCCCGCCCCCTCCTGCTGTTCCCCCGCGCGCCCCTCCCCCACTCCTGCGCCCCTCGTACTCCCTCCCTCCTCCTCCCGGGCTGTTTCGTGTCTGGTCTGCTCCGGCTGGGCTGACTTAGCCCAAACTTCCGCGGGCCCCCCTCCGAGGCATCGTGCGTTTCACAGACGAGAACATTGAGGCAGAGCAGGTGCTGCGCGGATGCAGAGGCAGGGGCTCTGCCTGGGCTGCTGGCCCCTTCAGCACAGCGGGGGAGCCCCAAGAGTTACTAGGCCCAAAATCAATCAAGCGTGTCCTCACCCTCTGAAGTCGCGAGTTAGAGGAGAGGCGCTGGCTGCTTTCACTTTTCTCGGACCCTGGCACAGGGCCACCCTGAGAATCCCCTGCAGCCGCCGGGGCCGCGCTGGCTGGGCCTTCCCCAGGGCGCGGCGGGAGTGTGCGGCGGCAGAGGGACCACCACCCTGTAGGAGGCAGCCGACCAGCGGGCAGGGACGCCCGGGAGCCTCCGTCGGGGTGGGGGGAGGGCTGGCTGCCGCCGGGCTGCAAACTCGGAAGCTTTGTTTCAGAGTCTGCGCGGGTTCCAGGGAGGGCTAGGAAGTGCAGGGTCGGCATGCGCCAGCCTCCACAGTAAACATCTTTTGATGGTCTCCGGTGGCAGTTTTGTTTAAAAACAGTTTATTTATTTATTTATTTATTTGTTTGTTTATTTATTTATTTATTTATTTATTTATTTATTTATTTTTAGAAAGGGGGGAAAGGAGGTTTAGAAAGAGGGACTGGGGACCTGGCCCAGCCCGCACCCCAGGCATGTGCCCTGTCCAGCAATCGAACTGGGGACCTTTCTTTTTGCAGGTCGGCATGCAACCCACGGAGCCACACCCGACAGGGCTCTGGTGGCGGTTTCAGAATCTCGTTTGTGAACTTGAACGCAGTGACAGACCATTCCTTACACCAGCACCAGGCCTAGGAGTGAAGGAGGAAGAGGGACACAGGGCAGTAGCTGGGGCCCAGCAGGTCCCCGCCCACAGGGGACCCAGAGTCTGCTCTCTGTTAATAGAGAGAAGCCAGGGGCTTGTGGCTGGTCAGGAGGGCTTCCTGGAGGAGGCGACCATTAAGCTGGAAGATGTGGTTGGATAAGTGATAAACAGGGAAGGGTGTCGTGCTTTGAGGCCCTACAGACACTGGGGGACTGAGACTGGGGGGCCGTGTGTGACCGGAGGTGACTCATATGTAAGGTGGGGGGTGGGAAAGTCCATGGAGTCATTCAAATGCAACCTCACTGAGATTTTTAAAAGATTTTAGAGAGAAGGAAGGAAGGGAGAAAGAGGGAAAGAAACATCAGTGTATGAGAGAAATACTGATCAGTTGCCTCTCACTTGCCCCCAACCGGGGACTTGGTCTGCCACCAAGGCCTGTGCCCTGACGGGAATTGAACGGGTGACTCTTCAGTTCACAGTCCCGAGTTCAACCCACTGAACCACACCAGCCAGGGCTCATGGAGAGCTTTTAAGGGCCGGAGACTTGCTCGACTAAGCATCCCGTGGGCGTATGGCATCTCCCCAGCAGGCAGGCTCCAGGCCCAGTCGGTCCTGGGCTCACCGGCGAGGACGGCTTCAGTTAAAGAGAGGACAGCAAGAGCTCAGGCCACCCGGGAGGTGCCTGATGCGGGTACCTTTCATGCCATTTGGTGACCCATCCCGTCCCCTGAGGGTGCCCCTCTTCCACCGATGGGGAAACAGAGGCACAGGAGGGTGGGGAGGAGGCTCTGGAGGAGTTGGACCCAGTTTCTGAGCAGGTCACTTTCCCTCGTGGGCACTCAGCCTCCTGACCCATAAAGTGACCCTGGCGGCTGTCCTTTCTCAGGGTGGTCACGGTCACTCCTGCCCAGAACAGCCAGTCAGGCCCTAACAGCAGCACGATGGGCTGCCTCATCCCTCACTCACTCACGTCAGCCTTGTGAGGCAGGGACTGTTACTGTCCCCTGTTACAGGTGAGGACACCGAGGCAGGGGGGGTCACACGGCCAGGGAGCGGGGAGCAGGCAGGTGTGCTGCGGGCGCAGTGTCCCCACCTCCCGGGCACTGCCCCGGGGCACTTCAGGCGGTCTCCAGGGAGACGCCCGGGGCCTGCCAGCGGCTGCCCTCCAGGCTGTGTCAAATGAGAATGGAGACCGAAAAGTGATGTTTTCAGATGAATTACTGCACTTTTTCCTCACCCCCTTGATTAAAACTGATGCCCCAGGATGGTGTGCCACTTGCACCCGTGTACCTGGAGGCTTCCGGGGCCTCCTGGGGCGTTTTTGCAAGGATCCCTTGGGCCAGGTGCTGCAGGGCTGGGGACAGCTAAATAGATGCTGTTTGGGGGGGGGGGGTGTCACTGCAGGTGAGCTCGCCATCCTCGGTCCTGCCCTGGCGATCCTTATCTGTAGGCTCCTGGGACTTCTGGCAGCTGGATCTGGCCTTGGTCCAGGTTTCTAGGTGCCTGGAAGGCAGCAGACCTGGCTCAGGACTCTCCCCAAATGACGTCTCTGGCCTCGTTTGCTCACCTCTCACCCGGGCACCATGAGGAGTGGGCTGCCCCGAGGCTCAGAGGGGAAGATGCCTGCGGTGGCGCGTTACCACCTGGCTCCGTGAGCAGGGTTGCTAGCCTCTGTGGGCCTCGATTTCCCCACCTGAGATGCGGGCAGTGTGGACAGCTACGCCTAGGGTTCCTGGGAGAATCCAGGAGTTAATTTGTGCCAAGTGCCTAACCCAGGGCATGTCATGTGTGTTTGCACTTATTAGCGTTAGCCCTGCCCCCTCCCCCCATGGTACAGTCCTCGTTCCCAGGAGTCAGTGCGGAATGAGCTCGTAGGGCCCTGTTCCTGCCCAGGCTGGGGGCCAAGTGGTTCTTGCTTCAGTGACCCGGGACAGCTCAAGGCAGCCAGACATTCATTTTCAGTTGGAGCTGGTGACCGTCCACAAGAAGGAACTGGTTTGGCAGGTCAGGAGTCCAAATACTTCTAGGGAGGCCTCCCCCTCCCCACCTGGTCATAAAATGAAAACAAGCAACAGGGGCAGGGGCTGGCGTGTTTGCCACCCGCGGGAAAGCTGCAGGTGGCTGGGGCCCGCATGGGCTCGCCCACCTGCTTCCTCACTCCCACTCGCTCACCCCAGCTCCCCAACCAGCTCTCCCAGGTCCGTGCAGGGGCTGGTGGCCGCCACGTCCAAGGGACGGGGGCACAGGTGGGAGCAGAACCAGGTCCCTGGTCTGGGAGGTACTGAGTGGCCTGACCTTCCCCTGGGACCTGGGCGCCTCTGTCTCTGGCCACGTTGAGAGGAAGCGCTTGACTTGGCTGAACTGTAATCGTACCTTTCTGGAGAGAGGCCCCTGAAGGTGAAGGGCAGGTGCATTAGGGTCTTGTGGATCCCACGTCAGTCTCCCAGGAGGCCGAGGGGGAGGCAGATTTGAATTCAGGCTGGATGATTGAATTGGCTTGAGCCCAAGGTAAAAATGGAAACTGCTTATGAATCACCTACTCCCTACAGCTGAGTGATCCAGGTGGAGGGGACAACGGTGTGTGCAAAGGCCCGGAGGCACCGTGTGGTGCGTGGCTGGGGCAGAGAGACGGGGGCTAGTAGAGGTGGCATGAGATGATTCCAGGGGGCGGCGGAGCCAGGTGACAGGGTCTCTCAGCGGTTGGTGGGGTCGGAATTTTATTCTCAGAACTGAAGGCAGCTGTTGGCACACAGAAGTGCCACGGGAGTTGGGGGATTGAGTCCAGAGTCAGGAGAGAGGTCTGTTCTGAGACCTGAGTTGGGGGTGGAGAGCAAGAGATTACTGTCCCTCAGGGAGGAGAGGAGAGGGCCCAGGGTCCCCACCCACAGGTCTGGGTATGGATGATGGAGGTTATAGAGAGGCCCAAGCTGTCCCCTCCTCAGGGACAAAGCAGCCTGCAGTGGCAGGGAATGGGCGAGCGAGGCAGGCCGTGACCATGACACCCGGCCTGGAGGCCTTGAGTGCTGGGCACAGTCATGTGCCTGTTCTCTTATCTAACAGACCCTCACCCCACCCCGGCCACCAAGCTCCCGCTCTCGTCCCTGACTGGCCGGGTGACGGCTGAGACTTGTGTGGGTCAGACGGCTGTCAGCACACAGGCAGAGGCAGGAAGGACACACCGACCTGTGGAGCAGGCTGAGGGTGGCCAGAGCTCAGAGGAAGTCCCTCTCCCAGCCGGGGTGGCAAGGCCCCCAGGGTTCCTGTTTTTTAAATCCTCGCCTCTTTGATTTTAGAGAGAGAGAGAGAGAGGGGAAGGGAGGGGGAGAGAGAGGGAGAGAAATGTTGATGTGAGAGACATTGATTGATTGTCTCTTGTGCGCACCCCAACCAGGGATCAAACCCACAACACAGGCATGTGCCCTGGCCAGGAATCGATCCCTCAACCTTTCAGTTTACAGGACAACAATCCAACCACACCAGCCAGGGCAACAGGATACTTTTAACTGTAATGAACAGAAAACCCAACTCTGGCCCAAAAGTCAAAGTGGATATATTGCCCTATGCAGCTGAAATGGTCTGGGGACAGGATGGAGATCAGGTATGGCTTGATCAGGGCTCAGCAATTCCCTGCCTTTGTCGGATCTTCCAGGGGGCAGTGAGTTGTCTGCAGCCATTCCAGGCCTCATCTTCATATGTAGCTGTGTGGAGAGAGACTGCTCCAGTGGTGCTCTTCTGACACGCTCTTCCTTCCCAGAAGAACCTGGAGACTTTTCCTGGTCCTTCACGGGCCTCATCGAACTCCTCCCTCTGGCCAGGGAAATTGCTGTGTGCTGATTGGCTCAACTTGGGTTCTCTATAAACCTTTGAAGAGGGGGATAGGTAATCAGGTGGGCTCTAGGAGGTGGGATGGGTCAGCACCTGGCAGCTGGAGGGCTGTGCGGGTGAGAGGTGCGCACCAGA